CATCCACACAGAACATACAGGACCACTTCTGGCTGCTGCTGATGGTTTTGCTCTTGCTTTCCTGGAAAAGCTGGTGAAAAATCATGATATATTCCTACTGATTATCTTTGGCATCTTGTTTGAGCTAAAAAAGTGAAAACAATTGGCCCCATTTATGAACACAATATTAGACTGTGAGTTCAGCTTTAAATTTTTACATATAAATTTTTACATTTAGGTACAAAGAAACACCAAGAAATTCAAAACCAGGGAGAGAACACAGGGTATGAATAAGTGATAATTTAGATAAATGGAGGCAAGTAACAAGGGGACAATTAACAAGCAAAGATGCCATTTACAGGAATGGTCATTAGATGGAGACATTAAAATCTAATCAAGACAAAATACTGGACAAATAACTGAATAAAAAGCCTTCTGCATTGATGGGATGTAATGTGATCTTTTTAACTCAAATACACCCAATTTTATGATTCTGTTAGCTAAGTAACAATATTATGCCTAGGAAACAGGATACTGCAAGAGGGCAGAACTTAGTGTGGGGTCACGTGGAGGCACCACCTTTGAGGAAATATCAAATCTCCATCTAGCGCTCCTCCAAGGGCAGGACAAAAATAAGATTTAACATTTGGCACTGAAAAACACCGTGTGCACGTAGCTTCACACTGTGTGGTCCATTGAGGACCGATGGTGACGGAGGCAAGTTCGCTCAGGGGCACGATGAGCGTGTCAGACGCGGAAAGCGGAGGAGTTCAGCAGAAAACTGCGGTGCAAGAGCCGAGAAAGGCTGTGGGTACCAGGGAAATTCCCACCACCCACATCCTCGGAGATGAGCCCAGCGATGCCAGCCCAGGAATGCTGTGACTCAAAGGAAAACACTTCCCCAGACCCTTAACTGAAAACAGACTGGATTGGCCGGGGACAGCTATGGTTGTAGCCGCGGCTACCCACGAGCCCTGCACAAGAATGACAGACTGCGTGTAAAATCATGTTGTGGACAAAAATAAAAAGGCACGAAGGCTTGTTCATCACGCAGCACAGGGAGGAACAAGTGAGCAGCTGCTGAGAAGGGATTTGTGCAGGCAGGATAGGAGCTCTGCTGGGACAGAGCCCAAAATCAGGTAACTTGGGTGGGTGGGAGGTTTCGGGCTTTCCTGCAGTACTCGTTTAGAAGAGCTGTCAGCTGAGAATTTACAAACTCATTCAAGATATTCCCAAAACTTCAGCTGTGGGCAACTATGTGAAATTTCCTTCTCACCTACTTTTGCCTGGATGAGGGATATTTCCCAAAGTACTGTTACCACTATTATTTCCAGATTGGAAATGTAAATGAATCACTGAAGGAGGAAGCCAAAACCAAAGGAGATTTGCATTAACATTTTTGTACCTATTTCTTCCCCCCAGTTTTATGAATCACCACCATTTCTTTATGCATTTTGTCTGTAATCTTGATAAATTTAATACCTTAGACAAAAAGGCTTATGTCATCAACCTTTTCACTGTTTCCCTGTGAGGAAATCTTTTCTTTCAGCTATGCAAAAGGGGCTGATGAAATCCTGGAAGCCAACTTGCAAGGATGTCTTATGGCTGGACTTACTGTCCACAAGGAATAAACATTACATTAGTAATGCTTAGTCCCAGAATTTGCCCTCATTAAAAGTGAATTTCCTTTTCTACAGTGAAAATAGAGAAAAAAGGCAATAAAAGAAGTGAGCTGATTATTTTCTTTGTTGATGAGCTGTTTGGAAAGGCAGAAAGTGGAAACCTGTGTTCTTGAGAGAGCTGCAGAATACACCCAGGTCACATGTCTCCGTGCCCCCCCATTCATGTTTTACCATGGGGCCAACAAAAAACATCCTCTCTGTAACGAACATCTTGGGAGATTCTTGTCTGGGGAGGTGATCCCTGTCCTCTCCCAGCAAAGGCATGATCACCTCACCTTGTGTCCTGCCTGAGGATGTCAGTTATGTCCGAGAGGCAGCTGCGTTGGATTTGAGGAGAAGTTGGGAAGTCCACCTCTCTCTCAGAGACCACGCTAATCTTTCTGCTGCTTGAAGCCCAGAACAGCAGGGCTAGAGCTGGATTCTCCAGTTCCCGCTTCTCCACCATGCAGGTTCCACTATTTTTCCATTGGAAAGGACACAAAGCAGGTCAGCTCAGCAGCTTTTGGGAAGCCCTCCTGTTGGTTTGCTGCCTGTGAAGGTCTCACTGTACTGGCTGTGGCTTGGTGCTTGTAGGAGCTGCTACGTTTCACTCCTGTCCTCAAGACTCTTCCCTTTATCACACAACCCTTCCTCATACTTGCAAATACCTGCCTGGCTTCTTCTTTGGCCTTTTCTAGTCAGAAGGCTGGTTTGTCATTTTAAAATGCATTTCTTGAAGTCTATGAGGCTAGGAAGAGAAGGTGGAATTGTGGAGACGAAGGAATAAGGAAATGTGGAGATCTTCTACAAGGAATTGGGGAGAACTTCAGTGAAAAATCACAAAAGATGCTGGAGAAATGCGTATGCTCAGTAGGTAATACATATGTGAAATGATGTCAAGTCAGATGCCCAGACAGGAGACCCTCCATCCGTTTAATGAGGGGAGAAATAGGAAGTCTTGGCTGAACATCAAACAATAATTGTTCTGGTTTCTCAAGCAGTCTAAAAGAAAAAAAAAAAGAAACTTAAGGTAAAAAATGGGAAGAGCACAGGCTGTACGTACCATAGACATAAGTCAGGATGGCCCAGAAAATCACAGCAGCTGGCACGACTTTAGAACCAGATAAATGGTTAACCACCAAAGAATAAGAATTAGGACTTGTTTTATAGGACCAAAGCTGCAGAGTTATTTACAAAGAAAACTGTCTTCTTACAGTTTCCTGTAAGATCTGCAATCTTCAAGCATGTTAAAAGACGTCCAAAAAATGCAAGATATTCAGATGATGTCATTTATCTGGATTTCCTCAGCAAGGTCCTTCCTGGCCTGCTATAAAGGAGAATAAATAGCAATAGGATTGTTTCAGTATGACCAAGAGAGAGAGGCTGCAGGAGCGGTGGATGGTTTTCACGGTGCCCCTTGGCAGTGTTTCAGAGTGTACAAAATTGCTCTACAAAGAGGTGGAGAGGAGACACCGACGAGACGGTGAGGGAAAAGTGCTGGAAACCCTCTGGTGTCAAAGGGTTGACTGAAGAAAATCGAAATTTTCTCACCTCTTACTGAATTCAAATTAAATCAAATTGTATTTCAGTTGCCGAAGAAAAAAATTTAGAAGTCCTCAAATGTAAACAGCGCTGCTTATCAATGTACAGAGCTGGCCAAAGCCTTCAAACAAAGGCGTAGTGCAAAATAAACAGGCTATGGAAAAATACTGGAAACCATCTCATGCCTCTGCAGAAATCAATGGGGGATGCTGTGTTCGTTCTGCTTGCGTCAAGGGACATACCAGGGGGTTCAAAGAAGAGCCCCAAAAGCCATCAGTCATCGGGAGCAATTACTAATGCAGGTAAAGATTAACTGAGGGGAACTGATTAAAGATTTCGCCACCACTGCCCTTCCCATTGCCGGTCCCAAGGCTCTGCAGGTACCTGCCAGCCCTGCAAGGTGAAGAAGGGGCATGGCTTGGGTCTGGAGCGCTCGATCTCACCCCTCCCACCTGGTTGTGTTATTATTTTCACAGAGTCAGTGCTATAGGGGAAGCACTCTGACGAAATGGGTGGTGCCCTGGAGAAACAGAAGGTTTGTCTTATGCTTTCTGTGGGTTATTATGAAATTTCAAGCCAGTGAGAAAGACAAACTTGTTTGCAGAATTTATGCACTTGCAGCTGACGGTTCTGTTTTATCATCTTGGCACACAAGCAAAATAACCAAATACAACAGAAACAGTAGTTGTGAAAAATAAAACCACTGTGAAGAGCCTCTGAGAAAAGCCAACTCCTTCTTATTAAAATAAAATAAAAATATGTATTCACTCAAATCAAAGCACAAATTATATTAATTACCAACCAGTCAAATCCCTTTTTGGGGGAACTTTCTCTGGCTTTGGCAGATGTCCTCTCACCAGCACTCCAGTGCAAACCCAGGATGGTCGTTTCTCTCTGAGCAGGCAGGAGAGCATAGGGCTGCCTTCCTTGCATGGTCTGCAGGTTGTGGCAGCGACTACAGTCCTTCGCAGCATCTGGATTTTCAGCTGCTTTACCTTTCTTCAGCTTTGCACCACTCAGAGAAGTGGTGAGGAGAATGGAGTGCTGCTGGCAGAGCTGGTGTTGGTTGGCAGCAAACCCTCCCCGTTGATCAAAAACCAAGGCAGCATCACTGTCTTTAATTCCCTGCTTTCATCTGCTGATTCCAGGTGTGAGATCAGCACTCAGGATAAGGTCGGGAGCTGTGGTACGTGTTCATGGGGCTGGGAACACACTGGTTTGCTATTCTCCATGTTCCCTGGATGATTCTCTGCTCTCCCATCACACCAAGACCTTGTGAAGGGAGTCCCCCGCCCTGAAACATGGATGAACTTGGCTTAACCAACATCATCCCTGGAGAACAATAAAGGAGGGTTAGTGCAAACGTAATCAGCATCAAACCTGAGTATCCTGGGCAACACCAACACAAACACTCATCGGGGATAGCCCAGAGTCCAGCTAGATACAGTGCTGCTTTTCATGCCAGAGGATATCTTTTCTTTGCTCAGAATAAAATAATTTTTTTACTCATGGATAATTTGTGTGAGCTCATGCAACACTCAGATGAGGTCAGGATTGCACCCTGTAATCTGCTCCATTCGAAGCATGTGTTTGAGGAAGCGTCTGGGACTCCTCTTCCACACGGGGCATCAGTTTTTCCAGACAGCTGAAAGTTAATGGCTACCATGATTCAGGCGAGTAATTCTTGTGAAACCAGCTCCGGGATGTTGCCTAGCAAAACAAATTCTGTCAGCAGAGCCCCGTGCTCTGACGTGGTACTGAATACGTGACACTATATATAAAAAACCAGGAAGCAATCCAAGGGAAACGGCACATTTTAGCTCTGCAGCAGAACATACACAGAATACAGTGATGCAGAAAACTATTCCTGGCTGTTTTTTCCAGCAAATGTAAGTATTTTTGATTTTCAATTAAGATTATACAACTTCATTGCAGTCAGGATATTCTGTGTCAATCTGGGGTTCAAATTTGTTCTCTTCTGTATATTCTTTGACACACAATTCCAGGAGGAACTTTGAAAGGAAGTATTTCTTTAAGAGTAGGAGATATTTTTGTGGATTACAAAGACATACCAATGACAAACGAGGAGTTATTATTAACTGGAATTTGTAAAATGTCTTGGGAGAGCAATTTCTGTGGGGATCAAAAAATAGTACCACTGAAAAAGCAGAGTGCTAGTTCAGGAATCCTCATGTGAACTTTAACTCAGGTTTCATTGGAATAAGGGCTAAACAAAAACTGTCTTAGTGTCACTGACCACATGCAATGATCCTCCTGCGGGTGACCTGTAATGAATCCCCCAAGAGGCTTCTTTGAAAACTGTAAATAAACAGATGTATTGGCTCAGGTTGCCTTCTTCACCCATTCTGGCTTTTCTGGCAGGATGGGAGTGGGTGTCTGGGAACATCCCCCTGTTCCTGTTATACCTGGCTCCATCCCAGGTGTGATCCCATCCATCCATCCCTACCCCGGCACAGGCAGAGGGAAAGGTCTGCTGCTGGAGAACACCTATTCTCCATTCCCCAAGGTCCTTCATGGGCTGGCAGGATTTTCCAGCTGGAGGGAAGCTGCTGGGTTGGCTGTGGAGGAGGAAGCTGGCAGTGGGAGCTCAGGAGAGCCATGCTGACAGCCACCTTCTCTAAAGGAGGAGCCTGTGGCTTCAGACCCTGCCTTGTGCACTCTTCATACATCTGTTCTTTATCCAATGATTCCTTAATCTTACCCATGTGAAGGCTATGTCTGACTAGTGGCGTGTCCCAGACAGATCTCTGGCACCGAGCTCAGCTAGAGCAATGAGGACTGTACCCTCAAAACCATCCTTGCAGCGTGGGCAGTGCTACCTGTGGGCAGCACTCCCTGCCTCCTGCTAAAACCCAGTCCTACACAGCGTTCCGGAGGGTGTCCACTGGCAAATTCCAAAACTGTGCTGAGGGCATTGGAGGTCTCTCAAGACTATAAAGAATTGAGCTCCAGCACCCAAGAACATCTCCCAACTCGGTTTAATTTACCAGAGCAGATGTATCCAAACAGGATTTGGAGTGAGTATTGGAAACCAGGATGCCCTTTTCCCTGCCAAACATCCACAACTACCTGTGTTGTGATCCATAAGCATTTCTTGATCCCAGTCCCTGGTCCAGGGTGTCAGCTGTTTTCCTACACTGTGCCCAGATTCCTTAGGAGGTACGAGAAGCATCCCCACCTCAGGAGAACCTGTAGCCTGCTGGTTGGGACACCCATGGGAGATAACCATCTAAATCCCCCGCGGCAAAGGAGGAAATCAAACCTTGTTCTGCTACATTCTGGATGAGAGTTTTAACTACTAAATCATAGTGTGAAAGGGGAGGAGGGAGGCAGGACGGAGCCACAGTGATGATCCCATCTCCTGGGGCACCTGTGGCTGGGAAGCAAGGACACCACTGACACATCTCTAACAGAAAGTTATCTTCTTTCGCATCTTCTATCCAGAAACTCCAGTTTCTTTCCAAAGTACATTGAGGTGTTAGGTAAAGTACTGGCAGTATTATGTAAAATGCTGAAGTTTTCAAGAAGAGAAGATGTGAAAAACCTTAGCATCTGGACTGGCTGCTTCTGGCACCTCCTCCAGCTCTACCGGCTGCTCAGCTTCCTTTTCTGATGGTTGTCATGAGAAGAGCCTATGGGCTCATCACCAAACCCTGGGGTGTAAGATAGGAGACTCAACGCCCAGAAGCTCAGAGTTCAAATGCTCTACAAGGACATGACAAAGTTCTGCTGTAAATCCAGCCATTGGCGTCTTATTCCTTTCAAACTCCTTAAGTGAAAAAAAAAGGATGGAAGAAATATATGAATGAGACAGGCTCAGTGGAGAAATCTGATATTGTTCACATGGCAAACTTCTGAGGGATTCAATTTGTTTCCCAATGAAATGTTATTTCCACATTCTCCAGAGGAGATGTAAACTCCCAAAGTAAGTGAACTGTATGTTTTGTTCCCTCATTCAGCAGCTCAAACCAGCTTAGATTTGTTTATTACCCCTCATCTGGGAATCACAGCCTCGAATTTATCTGAAGTCCTGGAGCCAGGTGTGTTGATCTTCAGCGCAAAGCAGCCTGAGCCAGGTTATATGTACTTTCCAGAATACAAAAATTCACAACAGTAATCAGTTGTCATAAAATGAGCAAAGATTTTTATCGAGGAATATAATTTGTCTCCTCAAAAATAAACTTAATGAAAATATACACACAAATAGGCTGCAATCAAAAAAAAAAAAAAAGATAAAACATTCTTAATGTCCCTTTCCAAAGAAGGAGTAGCTTGATTGAATAACAAGATAAATCAGTATTTAACTGTACACATCACAGCTTGGTTCTCCTCCACTTCCAGCTAGTGAGTTGTATGAGCTTTCACACTGTGGATTCCTTAATTAATTTCTTAATAATTCCTTAATCAATGCTGTGTATCAAAACAAATGGTCAAACTAATGCTCAGACATCAATGCTCAGAGATTAACCCTCCTCTTCAGCACCTCCTGCATCCCAAGCAGTGAAGCAAAGCAACTTTATGGTAAATTAGCATAGACTAAGGGGTCTGCGCCTGGTCTAGTGGCAAAGGCCCTTGACTTAATGGAAAGAGCAGAGGCCATCAATTTCAGAAAGATTTTGATTTTTCCACAAAATGCAGAATCATTTTTCTAGTTAATCACTGTGGAAAACTGGGGTAAGATGAACTGTATCACTGCTCTGCTGACGTACAGGACTAAACTTTTCCTATCTCTTCCCTAAAGGATTCCACTAACAAGTTGGCTCAGATACTTTAAAAAAACAAAGAGAAAATGCGCAGGTGAATCTTGGATGAGTCAACCCGGTACCAATCAAGCCTCAACAAGCAACGGAAATCCCACTCTTAAAAAATTTGGCTTGGTACCTTTCATAGGAATCAGTTAGAATTACCATTTTTCCCATCATCTCATCAAGAGAAAAAAACAGGCAAGGAATAAAGCAGCCACCCAGACCTGTTGGGTAACTGTACTGGAAAAGCTTTAAAATACAAGCTCCAAGGTGCTCACATCAAGAATATTGAGATTTACATAAGGAAAGAGATGCTCAAATATGAAAGAAATAGCATTGTCACATTTAGCTAAATCTCTGATCTGATTCAATATTCCACCTTCATTCAATCCACATTTCCTTAGCTCATTCCTTTATAAGAATGCCTCATGAAACAATAGAAAGTCTTAATAAAATTAAAGATATGCGACAAGTTGTTTTTCTCTTCACCCATGAGATCTATTATCCTGCTACAGAAGGAAGCTGGGGTCAATAAATTTGCTTTATCTGTGAGAAATCCAAATTGTTCTTCCTTATCTGTCTACCATTTAGATAAAAATTTGCTTGATTATTTTAGTAGTTTTCTGGGAACAGAAGATTACAATTTTATGGCTTCTCTTGCCCTACTCCTCCCTTTTAAAGATAGGCCTCATCTTTGCTATTTTAAGTTTTCTGGAACTTTTACCATTTGTCTTTTAAGACTTCTTAGTGATAAACATGAATAAAGCTGAAATTGCTTCAGACAGTTTCTAAGTGCTGTTAGATAAATTTCATGAAGCTCAGGAATTTGAAAACACAGAATTTATCTAAGCAACATCCATCTTATTCTTCCTTTAGTCTAGTTAGGAACTTTTTCTGGAGGTCTTCTGTTGGTAGCTCCAGCTGTGGCACATGCCTGGCTGTAAGTGTGTCTTTCAGAGAACAATGAAGCAGCAAAAGAATTGTTGTCTTCTGATTTTGGCACCAAGAGTTGGTTCATAATTCAAATTTGTAGGGAGCAGACTCATTCCTCGGTCTTTCTTTGTCTGACAATGGATTTATGGAGTGTTTCCTCCTTACCCATACATCACTTCTTCACTGCACCTCATCTGATATTATTCTTCTATGTTTATGCTATTCTTTTACATTCATCTTCATTGTATAATCCTCTTTCCATTTTTTGTAAAATTCTTTCTTGCTTTTGAGACCACTGGAAACTAATGATTTAACCAATTTAGTCTTGTCCTGGTCTTTGTAACTTTATCACATACAGGCCTAACTTCACACTTCTGCCTCTTTGATGTAATATTACACAAATTATGATAATGCCTAAAAATATCTGGGCACTTTACAAACGTCATTCCTGCTTAAGATACGAGTGTGTAAATACAAGGTTAGTTCCTGAGCTGTTAGTCATCGCCAGTCAATTCTCTACGTTATGCAAAGCTGTAGTTGAAGGTAATGGGTACTTTGCATGAGTAGGAAATGAGTAAAGCCTTAGGATGCAGCCCTGATTTATTAGATTACTTTGGCATGTTGATACAAAATGTCCATGAAGAGTTGTTAAGCAAACCTTATCTCTCTGATGCTAAATACTTCACTAGAAAGACTGTTACTAGAAGTATTCACTTCCCACTGAGATGTGAAGGACCCCCAGGCAGAAGCGTATCATCCAGGTACCTCTTCTCACTGCATTTAAGGCAAAGGGACTGCTCGCAGCATTTTATAGGAGATAACAGTCAGACAAAGAAGGAGTTCTGCTGGCAGCCTACGGGAACTGGCTCTTTTCACAAATTTCATTGTTTTGAATGTTGCCTAAACCCAGGAGTTTGCCATTCTTGACGGCTGGTTCCCTTGGGCAGCATTAGCCAACAGTTGGAGGGATGTAGTTTTTCCTCTTGCTTTTCCTTTTTCTTGTGAATTGAGGTTTTCTTCAGGCCCGTCAAGAGAGAAACTCAACCCCAAAGCACACCATCGCTGCAGAAGATTGCAGGCAACTGGTGGTGGGTAAATATGAAAGGACTCAGGCACCCAGGAGCAAGAGATGTGGTCTTCTGAAAACACCTTCTTCCCAAGGCTCGTTTGTGTATGTTCCCACAGGTTTATAAACTTTCCCTCAGATCAGGTCAGATCTCACAAGTGATTCATAAACATCCAACTGGATGCATTAGGAAATTCAACTAATAAACAAACTGGAAACATAACAGTATGGCTGTCTCAGTGGGAAATTGAAGTTGTATCTAATTATAGCTCTACTAAGCCCACGGAGAAAAATGCGAGCGGTTTCCAACAGACTCCCTATCAGTGGAAGAGCAAGTTGGTCTTAGGCTTTGTTAATGGTGCTTAAGAAACTTAAACAATATATTTTAGCAATAATGCTTAAAATGGCTTTTACGCCCAAAGAAACGCCCACCTTTTCCCCGGTAGCCCAGCATCTCCAATTTATTGCCATTTCTCACAGTGTGCCCAGGCATTCAATTTTATGCAGAAGCCATAGCCACCATATGAGCGTGTACGAAGAGTTGAGATAAGGACAGGAAAAGGAAATCAAATGAGTATTTATATGGTAATTCTCAACTACTGATTCAACTGGGACATTTCTTGGATAGCGTTCCCTTTAGTTTGTTATTTCACTTTCCAGAATGAGTAATAAATATCTCATTTACTCTTCTACACAGCACAACAGGAAATCTTTTTCTTGCGACAACACTTGAGAGTGGATTCTTCCTTTTTGAATTGGCCCACAAAGGCAAACAGAAAAAAAACTTGCATAATGAAAATAGCCCTATTCTGACCTCAGTTTTTCCAGTATTAGTCCAGAGTTATTCCAATTCCCTGCAATGACTCCTGGGTTAACTATAATAATAAAATGTTATTGCCTGGGTTTAAATGCAATTTACTTCACAATTGATGTAGCATGAGGATTTCACATACTGAATGCCTCTGAAGCTGGGTAACCAACCAATGCAACACTAAGGCTGGAGTGTGGAGGATGCCAGCACGTCTCTGTACAAATCATAGATCCATGGAATGGTTTGGGTTGGAAGGGACCTTAAAAATCATCTAGTTCCAACCCCCTGCCATGGGCAGGGACGGGAACATAATAATTTGTCTGGAATCTATCCCACTAATTTTACATTTAATCACCCTTTTTCATATTTGTTCTAGGTATTCTTCCCTAACTGGCATTTCTATGGAGAGAGACCACATGAAAGATCTCAGAAGATACCTGGTACTTAAATATATCCAATACCTTGTCCTGTCTTCTTCAAATGCTATCAGCACTTTTCTGGGCCTGCTGGGCAGTTTGTACACGATGATCATCCTCCGGTCTGCAAAGGTTTCATCCAAGTCCACTGTGGTTCTCATTTCCAGCCTGGCGAGGGCAGACATCCTGGTTTCTGTTAGCGTTGTATCTGAGATGGTTGTATGGTCCTTTGGTGGTAGTGTCTCCTCTACGGCCTTCACACCAGCTCTGCTGCAGAACCTCCTCACTGCAAACACACACATCAGCTGCTTGCTGCTAACCTGCGTGGCCTTTGAGGCTTACTTGATAACCTTCTTCCCCACAGAGTCTCGACATTTACGGACAGTGAAAAATGCCAGACTCACATCCAGGATCATCTGGATCCTGGTGATTGCAGAGTGTGCCCTTTTCCAGACGGATGACCTCCTGAAGGCCAGCAGCACTTCTGTTCCTACCCACAGCCCTTGCATTTTGTTGCTTCACTTCTCCAGCACGGCTGCAGCCCTTCTCAGGTCCCTCAGTTACTTCCTGGGGATTCTCTTAAGGATTGTCAATGTATACATCTACTACAAAATATTTTTTAGCATGTCTAACAGATCTACACTAAAAGCAAAGTAGCATATTCCCAGGGGAAGCAGTGCTGCGACACCAAACAGAGGACACTTCAACACAATTTCAAACCATTGGTTTGAAAGCTGCTCAATAACCAGGACCAAGGCTCATGTTTTGGCACACCACCGAGTTTAAACTTCCCTGTTTTCCGATGCTATTTAGCCCTGGTTATTATGATCATCTTGGGGTTGAGGAGCCCCTTGGCGCTGAAACACAACAAAGTTGGGCTGTGGGTGCTCCTGTTGCCAGCCCTAGAGCACCATGGGCCTGCTTTGATTGTTCTTGATCTAGAATTTATTCACTACTCAGGTGAAACAAGTGACATTTCACAAATGGCTGTAAAAACTAAAGCAACCCAAATATTTTTTATGTAAAAAGGGTGCTTAGAACCTTACTCAGGGATCCGTTGAGCCAAGAGCTGCCTAGTTGTATACTACAGGCATGATTTATGGCCTAAAATATCTCAAACCCAGGTGACCCACCAGGCTCAGGAGGTATGACGGAGAGACAAGGTGAGATCTAGCCCAACCGGGATTGTCCCACAGGCGGCATCAGCCCCACCATGAGAGTCCCCAGGACAGAGCGGCTCTGAGCTGCCACACCTCACTGCACGCCTGGGGCTATTCTTAGGAGGTTGCTACAACAAATTGGTAAATAGCTTCTCTCACATCCCCCTTCAGAAACAAACAGGAGGTGGAAAGCCAGAAAGCACTTGTTTGCTGCAGCCCGACAAGGTGTGGAAAGAGTTTGAGAACGCCCTTGTGTTGAAGGCTCCATGTGCTGTACCCGGAGGGATCACTGGTGATTTTGGTGGCTGTGATTTCGGAGGCAGGGAGGGATGTGCTGGAGTTAGCAGTGCTGTGCCAGCTCCCTGGGCAGCGGTGCAGAAGGGCAGGGCCACTCATTGACTCTCTGACGGCATTGGGCCTCAGGCGGATGTATAACCAGGCTGTTACCCAGCTGGTGATTCATTGGGATCTCCTCAAAGCACTGGGAGGTTATCAGCAAAACATAAAGTACTGCAGATACGTCAGATGCTCCCCAACGCACAAGTGGGTGTAGCATTTCTAATTACTCTTGCACTTTGCACAGGAGATGGCCTCCAGCTTCAATGAAAGGCTGTGGTTTTGAGAGACTGAATTTCTCTGATATGTTCTGAAATCCACAGATGGTAAAAGGTGGAAAGAAAAATGAAATAAGCCAAATCCTAAGTATTAATAGCCAAAAAGCTACATACGGCCTCCCTCCAACATGCTTCCAGACCTTCAGTACACCTTGCCAGCCTGAACACAACAATAAGCCTTTGCTCATTTGAGAAGAAGAAGGATGTGGGGCACAAAACCTTCCCTCATTAGCCTGCAGTAGGTCCTCATGCTCCAAATGGGACCAGATTGGAGGAGGAGGAGGACAGGAGCTGTCAGTTGAAGATCAGACTTCACAAACCCAAGGAAAACTGCAAGCATGGAAGAGCTTCCTGCTCTTTGCCCTGCTCACCAGCCAGTTTCTAAATTTCACAATCACAGTTTTTGCACGTTGGTCTCAGAAGTGGTTTTTTCCTTCTTCACCAAGATGAACTTGACCGAAAGGCAACACCCAGAAAAGGGGCAGTGAAACTGGGTGCACCCATCGTGCTGCCGGGGCCGGAGGTGGCCACCAGCAGGCATTCTCTTCTTGAGAATGTCTGCATGAAACAAAATAGGGTTTTTTGCATGTCAGATAAAGTCAGCTCAGTCTTAATGAAAGGCAAATATCCTGTCCCCTGCTTCCGTTCTTACTTCTCTTTATGTTCCATCACAACCTTTGCCACACTCTCTCAGAAAAGGCTGAATCTTCGCTTCTACACCAAGCAATAATAATGCAGATGTAGTTGGCTGGCTCTAAGGGATGAAAATACAACTGCTTAGAACTGCTAAAATCTTTAAAAATATTCTAATCCCTTTGGCTGCAGTAATACACTGCAAAAAAATATGAATATTGCTATTATCAGAATTCACAGAAGTTGTCTGCCCAAGTGCGGTTATTTACAACAAATATCAGAAGTGCCAGAGATGCTGCAGGCAATGCAGGGCCAGAAGTGAGTGAAGAGTGCTTGGAATTGTTTCTCAGAGGACTGAAGGGAAACACTGCTAAGGGCTGGCTATTTAGCAAAAGCAGAACAGATATGTAATCAAGTCACTTCAAAACACTTTGATGCAATCCCTTAAATCAGGACGTTGTCTAACAAAACTGATCCCTTCTGCAAGAAGGATGTCTGAATAATCTGATGCACTGTGATACACTGTGCTTATTCTGGAAGCTGCTTTCAGGAGAGAGGAAATGTTACTTGAAGTGCTGTAATTAATAAAATTTGGTTGGTTTTTTTTTTAAAGCGTGTGCATTATTCATTAAAAGTGTGTGCTCCTTCTGAGGATCTGCTACACTTTTGGCTTCTCCTATAGAGCAGGTATTAGGAAGAAATTCTTTACCCTGAGGGTGGTGAGAGCCTGGCCCAGGTTGCCCAGAGAAGCTGTGGCTGCCCCATCCCTGGAGGGGTTCAAGGCCAGGTTGGAGGAGGCTTGGAGCAACCTGGTCTGGTGGGAGGTGTCCCTGCTCAGGGCAGGGGGTTGGAACTGGATGATCTTTAAGGTCCCTTCCAACCCAAACCATTCTAAGATTCTATGGCTGAGCATTCACCAGCGGACTGGAGCCATGTTTGTTACACAAGGCATACAGGATTTTTAATCTTTGAGTTCATCACTTAGCTTGAGACGGGTTTTTTTTTTTTTCCTGATAAGTGCCTGTGCCCTCAGGACAATCCTTTTCTTAAGAAATTAATAAAAGCAAACTGAGCGTGACTTGGCTTAAACAGCAAGCACGTAAGAAAAGGTAGCCTATAGCAAAATACTGCAGGTATTTACTTGTATCTGGAAATCAGGATCCCAGGTACCACAGTGCAGCAGGACCAGGCTGGGTGGGTGACACCTCCTTCTGCTCTCTTGCCCAGGGGGACATGGGGACACAGAGGTTTTAGCAACCCTTTTTAGCTATGAACCCTTTAGCTGTAGGAGCCTTAGAGAACTGCTGCTTTTCTCTGAGCAGGAGGAAACCAGGAAAGGGGAAATGGTGCTCTCTGCCTGCTTTACTTTCCCAAACATCCAGACCTTTAGCTGAGTTCCACATTGACAAGATGTATGTGAGTGGGTAAGTCCAAAGCTTGGCTCTGGCTCATGGGAAGTGAGGGCAAGTGGATTCAGCAGCAGAGACACTCATTATCATGGATAATAACTTGAGGTAGCTTTTAAATTGGTCCCTCTGCAAGACATTGGAAACTGTCCTGGCTTCTGGATGAGTCAAACAGGACATGAGGGGCCAAAAGTGCCACCTGGGCAGCAAGAAGGGACAGATGTCAGGTGGGCCAGAGGGAAGGCAGAGTCATTTTTCAGGTTGTTGCTCAGTGTCCTTGGCCAGAGACTATTCCCTCACCTCGGTCAGGGGATTCAGTTCCCCTAAATTCCCTCAGCCCTCCAGCTTTCTCCAGGTGCTCCATTGGGAGATGGGTGATTACTGTGTAATGGAAAGGGGAAGCCCTTTTCTGATCCTAGTAATTTCTTATATTATTTTTAAGGTTTAAAATCATTTTTCTATCTAAAAATATTGATAATGATTATTAAAAGTTAACGCAGTGAGTTCATCTCCTGAGCATCTCCTCTGTGTCTGATAAAACTTCACAGACACTTCAGCATCAGTTGTGGCAGTATTTAAATTAAATCAGAAGGGCTGTGGTGCACAAAAGTCAGGAAACTGAGCACAAGATGATGCTGACCTCTGAAGATGAAGAGTTCATCAACTGTACTGAGACGCCAGAAAGCCCCCTGCAATTCCTGAAGCTGTCCTACAGCCCAGCTCCTCTACCTGCGATGCCAAGGGAATGACTGATGCTTTGTAGCCCTGGCAGTTTTAGAAATTAGAATGTTTTTGGAAATACTCAAAGGTACTGAAGCTGGGAGTTGGGACTTTTGCTTGGTGACTGGGAGCCTGATGGTCCTGAACACGGTGATCCTCACAACCCCCCACTGCTGGCGAGCTCTCCTGCATTCCAGGCTTTCTGCTCTGCTGGAAACTGGTCAGCGTTCCTACATCTTCACTACAAATTAGAAGATTTTGTTCAGTCACCATTTTTTTCAATGAAAAGTGTTGATGGAAAGTCCTCTGCAGAGAGCTCTGCTGTGGTCTGCTGTTCTGTGCTTTTTTTGTTTGCTTTCTCAGTCTTATCTCAAGACCTTTGCAATAGGAGACATTTAGGCAATGGGTTTGTCTTACTGTCTGTCTTACAATGCCAGGACACATCTTTCAGTTGGCTGTGAGGTCAAGCTGTTTCTGTTGGCTTTTGGACACCAAAGCAGTTGCTATTCTAACTTGCAGAAACACCCATAGTCCACATACTCTGGAAAAAGTGAATCATTTAATAGAAGACACTCCAGAAAATGATGACTAAACAGACCTGAGGCTCTCACACCATGCAAAATGAGAGTTCAAGAAATTTTTTCTCCCTCCCAAGTGATTCATTTCCATAGTATGTATTAGCATTTTACTAATCTTAAGCAAGCCAGCAACCAAAATGATGTTAGCTGAGGTTAATACTATAGTACTCCCCATCAAAAGCAAAGGAATCAATCATTATAAGTTTACTCCAGCCAGACTAAACTCGCTGTGAATCCCAGAATATTCTTTTGGGTGCTTCTGCACAACAAGATTTAGTTTCTAGGAAGACATTGATGGAAATCTATCAAAAATACCAGTCAAATTAGGTTATCTGTAGAGCCTGGCAGGAAACAATCTGGCTGTTTCTAGAACTGGGTAATTCATATCCTGCTGCCTGGTTTTGCACATGTTATGAACTAACAAACTATTTAGCGACCTTTCCTATTCAAAACCTGAAGAATATACGCATAGAACCAAATAATCCCACATCTCTGACATTCCCACAGACCCCCTAAGCGTGGCTGCTCCTGGTGCTTTGTTTGCTGCATCTTCATTTTGATGGATTTGCAAGAAAAATCCCAGGGAAGGTGAAGAACAGCCCGGCGAGGACTTTCTCATCTGTGTTCAAGTCAGTGACCTGATTTGTCTCTGATTTCAGTGACTGTGGATCACGTCTGGACTGGAGCTTAAAACTTCCCCCATCTGACATGGTTTGAGGAACAGAGGTTCCCAAGTTGCATCATACACTCACCAAAGGTAAGATAGGCCTAAAATAAATGTTGGGTATTGGATTCACTTAGCTGAGATCTACAGATAAGATGATTATCTTATCACAAGCCAAGGGTGGCAAGACTTTTATCAGTGAACATTGAGACCACATTTGACTCCTTAGGTGGCAAAGGGAGACACAAAGAAAACCCAAATGATAAAGAGATGCCACTGCACGCTTGTATCTCTTGCCCTAAATCTAAGCAGCAGAAAGCAAATTGACATTTTTGCTGTTGCATGCCTACCAGCAGTCCGTTCCCATCACCCCCACATCTGATCACCTTCTCAAATGTAAAGGAAACAAACCTTACACAGGATGATTAAACTGATAAATAGAAAGCATTTCCTTTCCCCTGACAGCAGAAAGCCACCAAGGAGCTTGAAGGTCCAGGGTCCGCTCACGGTTTCAGCGTGCAGCTTGTGGGTGCTGCAGAGGCGAGACCCTCCTCCTCGTCCCCAGGGCTGAAGAGCTGCTTTGTGCACACCCTTGGGTTGAAATAAGTCCCCAAGGGGCTGAGCAGCCTTTAGTTTTCCCCTGTGATGGTGAGATTTTTGTGCACACAACAGCTTGCCCGTACATGACCCACCACCAGCATTGTTCCTGAGAGCTGGCGGGTTTTCTGGGCAGCAATCAGGCTGAAAGGAAAGGAGATGCTCCACGAGGACATTGTCTCCTCCGGGCCCGCAGCTGGGGCAGTAGAGTGGGTCACCAAGAGATTTGCATAGCTGAAATCCCCAAAGCGCTTTGTGGTCGATGACAGACCCTTTATTCCCTTTGTTTGCATCCTCCTGTGAAGTTTCAAAATCATTAAAAAGGGGGGGATTTCTCTACAGCTCTACTAACAGACATGGGCTTTTTTTTTTTTTTTTTTTTTTCCCTCTTCTACTTGCATCTTCATGTGTTTGCAATGCCATGCATTTTGCTGTAATAAATTAGCCTTGTATTTGCACTAAAAATATTTGCACTAAAAATATAGGTCATATTGCAAAAGTCAACAATTTCAAAGGGTGTTTTTTTTTCAAACTAATCATTTTTCAGCAAAGATGTTATATCCACAAAGAAAAGAATACAGACCCTGTTTGTTGTAAAGCTTTTGGAATATCTAAGCTTCTCTTGCATTAAAATTCTGGAAAATCACTTTTTTGGAAGGGATAGTCAGTCTGTTACTAACACGCATGGGGTTTTTTTTTTTTTTTTTTTCCCTCTCATTTGAACTATGATTCCCTAAGTGACTTGGGCTGGTTCATGAACCAGCACGTCTGATCGTTCACATAGCTGTGGCTGCGAGGTCAGGTCGCCCTCTGTGCAAGGTTCGCAGACCCATCTGTCTTAGCCAAGAGCTTGGAGCTATTTTCTGCACCAGAAAAATACAGCAATTCTTCCCCGGGCTTCATGGGCCCTGAAGACACTGTTGTTATTATTTGGGCACCCAAGGAAGCTCAGTCCACCCTCTCCTCTCCTTGACCACAGAAGCCTTTTCTGGGGTACAGGGAGAGGAGCCCATCTGGTTGGTTGCAAACCAAGCAGAAGGCACTGATGGAGGAATCTTCTGGCTGCAGGGAGTGAGGGAGCACCAAGCCCTGGCAAGAAGACAGCTCTGCTAAAGAGTGATGGCTCAGGGCATGATCTCCCTTTCTGAGGCCACCTGTAAGTCCTTTTACCTCCAACTGCTGCACAAGTATCTGTGGGTACCAGACCTTTGGTTTGCCTTCAGTGGGGATGACGTGTTTTGAGACCTGAAGATGCAACAGAAACCAACATTTTTGGGGCCCAAACTAAAATCCCTCCAGAGCCTTAAAAAAGAGTATGACCTGCTGTGGAGATCAAGCAGTGCTTTTAAGGGCTCTTCCAAGTGATGTGCGGCCCAGGGGTCCATGGGGAACAGCAGAAAGTCCATGGGGGATCTGCTAGAAACCATGAACAAGGTGGCCAGTTGTGCAGTCAGTGGTGGGACTGGGAAGGAACTGTCAACAAAAGCAAACACCACGGGACGAGCACAAGCTGGTGGTGATGGAGAAAGCAGGGCGGGCAGGCCAAGCGCACATCCGCAGTCTCTGTTGCTCAGGCATTGGTAACC